GAGAGGATAGGCGTTCATGAGTGAAGTGCAGAAAAAAGTGGGATTTCAACCGGGCAAAAGCTTCGTGTCCAGAAGCATCGGGTGTTGAAGGCATCAGGAAGGAGAGGATTCTACCAAACTCATGTTCAGGGAGATAAGCCCACAAGTCAACTTACCAAAGGGGGAAACAAAGGCTCACAAAGGCCTGTCATCCTAAGAGACGAAGCAAGGGCAGGCTTCGGGAAGAAAAGCCTCGAGCAGAGGGTCCTCGAGCAGAGGCAGAGGGTGTCGTACAAAGGGGGTGGAACTTTTTTTTGTGTGAAAGAGAGCTTTCAAATTTTTCGGTAATTTAAGAGATGTTATTTTGGTGTTTTGAGTTGTATTTATGTGTTATCATGGTTATGTGAAAGTTAGTGTTATTCTCGGTAATTTTCGGGTTGTATTACGATATTATGATGGTTCTGCAGTGATGGCGTTGTCATTGGTGTTATTGCAGGTAGTATTCAAGTATTACCACATTATTATTATGCGAGAAGGTCAAAAAAATTGATGTCATTAGCAATTTAAATGGGGTTTCCACATGTGTATTGGCGATTAAATGCGATGTCGTGGTAGGATAGGGAGTATCGGGAAGATCGCAGTAGTATTGGCGTAGTTATATAGCGATGGGATTAATGCGCATGGATTTAAGGTGTTCTTGAGGTAGTATTGTTGTGATGTGTGACAATAATCGTGGGGTTATGTGGTGTTATTTGACAACTATGTTATTGGAATAAGCCGTGAGAGTATTTGGTGTTATTAAGGTTGTATTATGGTGGCAACGTGGTATGACACTTCCATAACATCTCAAAAAATGCCTGAAATTTTAATTTCATCATTTTACTAATTATTTAAGGATTACTCTGATAAAATTTGAGGAATGAATTTGGCAAAGTTAAATTTGAAATGTAGACTCAAGTTTGATGAATTTGGAGTGAAAAAATGAGCAGCTTGGAGAGTTCTAGGTCAATTCTTATGTAAATTTGAGTAATTTTGATCTTTCTTTTTAATTTGAGGTGAATTTGGTGGCATGAATTTAATGTTTGTGTTTGTATGGGGCAATTGAAGGTTTGAACCATTTATGTGCATGGGTATGAATGTGAATGTGTATGGCCAAACCACAAAGGGTTTTCCTAAGGCCTTTCAATCCTATGGGAGCTCTCTTTGGGTCTCCACAGGTTGGTCCTAGCCACTCAACCTAATAGTGATGGCTTGTGCTCCTAACCACTCAACCAAATAGTAATAGCTTGTAGCCCTAGACACTTAATCAAATGAGGATGGTTCGAGACCACCCATATGAGGCCTCCCAATAGAGCTAAGAGGTGGTTTGAACTTCTAAATGGGGTGGGCTCCATCACTAATCTTCTAGAATATTCAATATGAAAATCCTAAGGCTAGATCCTAAGCTTTAGAAAAAAAAATTTAGACCTCATAAAAAATGAGGTCAATAGTGTACTCCATGTTAGAAGTTTCTCGGTGGCGGGCTTCTCACCCTTGGCGTCACTCCTTTTCTTATTAGTGTCATGATTAGGGGTGTAAACGAGCCGAACACGAGCGAGCCAAGCTCAGCTCGTGTTCGGCTCATTTATATTTCGAGCTCAAAAAGTGTGTTCATGTTCGGCTCGTTTGTTTAACGAGTCAAACACGAGTTGTTCACGAACAAAGAGTTCTTTTAACAACCCTAATCATTTAGCCATAAGACATAAGAAAATAAGAGTTTGAGCAAGTTTTAAAAATTATTATTTATATTAAAACATCATTTAAATCTAATTTAATGATTTTTATTATATTTTCTTTATCAATATTTTAATTGATTATAAATTTTTGTAGCCTTGTAGTCAATTAGATTTTTTAAAAATAATATATATACTTGATGAGTAGTATTTCGAGCCAAAACGAGCCGAGCACGAACGAACACATCTTAGTTCGTGTTCGGCTTGTTAACTTATCGAACAAAATTAACGAGTCGAACACGAGTTTCTTAACGAGCCGAACACGAGCTCTTCACGAACAGCGAGCCGTTTTGACAGCCCTAGTCATGATTCACGTTTACCGCACCTTTTAAGATGTTGAATCCAAATTTTTTTGGGGGACACACCTAAGTAATAGAACATTCGAGCAACGAGAGAAGGCGAACTAGAGAAGAGAGAAAGAATGCTATTGCGCCACACAAAAGGTACCATTTTTGCTCCATTATTTCCTAATTTTTTCTAAATGTCCATTTCATACACCTGCAGCCAAAAACATGTAAAATACCTTCCTTTAAAGTGTAATATCATAAAAAAATGTATATAAAAGGCTTTATAAAACATGCACTAAAAACATGCTATTTTAAGGTGGATCAGCGATCACTTAAGGGGGAGTGCAAATAAATAAAGAGATAATTTTTTTGATGAGCGTAGAATTAATGTTTTTAGGGTGACTAACTAGATTATTTTTCAAAATATGTTTAGAGTTTGATTGTTAGAGAGGGCACAGTGAGTAATCTAGAGGTGAGAGTCTAGAATCTATTCATCACTACTACACAAGCTGGTGAAAAACTCTATATTAGTCAATGTTCTTTGCTAGCACCGAGAGGGGGTAGAAAATAGGAATACTCCTATTAGTCACAATACATCATCATATTTTTACTCATTCAAATCCCACCTAGATTAATATCTCATTGCAAGGAGAAAAATCTTTACATATTATTCAAACTCGTTAGATTTACTTTTATTAAGCTATTAGATATAGTTATTTTTATCTACTTTAATTTAGTCTTAACTATTGTTATCATTTCATTTTTATTTAAATATACAATTTAGATCGAGTTTGCTGTTGAGTTTAGCAATTCATTTTAAATAGTCAACTATCCTCGTGAGATCGATACTGGGGCTTTTAAAGTAAATCTTATATTACTTGAAACGATACGTATACCTGTGTATTACCTCTGGTGTGAAGTATTATTACTTATTTTTCATATCATCACATTTATTCACACTAGCCACTAAATATAAATTGGGTCAAATTTTTTGCAATATTTTGGAGGTTAAAAATACAAGTAATTGTGGGTCGGGTCAGTATGCATATTATAAACTAATGTGTTTTAATTTATACAATTATGTATGAATTATTTGTTTGAATATAATGTGTTGTCAGACATTTGTATATACATTAACAGTGAATAAACATTTATATTAGGTTAGATATTTACTTTTATATTATGTAATTCTTATATTAAGAAAGAAAAAAATCAAAAGAATTGATCCAACGATGCTAAAATTAATCCAATATATGGTCAAACAGACTTTCAAACTGATCAAATATACTAAAAGAATTGCAAACTTATTGTCAAATTGAGCCAACGATGCTAAAATTGATCCAATATAATGTCAAAAGAATTGCAATCTCACTGTCAAACTGACAGGCTCGACGAGACAGACCCAACGATGCTAAAATTGATCCAATATAAGCAAAATCAAGCTCAATCAAGCCATCAAATCTCATTTGAATGTTTTTCGGGTATATTTGGAAGATCAAATGAATTTCGAACTTAACAAGAATATAGTTGAATTGAGTGTCTCGATAAGACAATTCAAAAAACCCAAGATCGTCAAATTCTGACATCATAAATGCACTGGATTGTCCATTGGATGTCGTCTGATCAAAGGGATCTCTCAGGACCATCTAATCAGAGTGATTGGAATTAATTCGTTATTTGCAACTTGAACTCTATAAATAAAGACTTACCCCACTCTTAAGCGGGCATCGAGTGCTTGAAGCCTAAAAAAACAAAAAGTTTGGAGAAGTTGAAGTCCAACATCACTTTTTTACTGTTGTCGCTGTCGCCAATCACCATCGCTTGTTGCCCACTCCTTGCGACGAAGCAACACACAAAGTAATCTATGAAATGACACATCATGCCGAACGTTGTGCCAATGCCGAAGACGGTGCATTAATGCCCCAACTATTGCTCCTCTTTGTGAACACTCCCTATCGCAAGGCCATAAGTCCTTCCGTGCACTGATGTTGTAACTTGAGAGGTTGTGTAGCCCTTTTCCTCTTATGGGACAAGGGATCATACATATAATCACGAGTTTATAATAGATTTCTTCAGTTGGATCAAACCTTGTAAATATGAAGGTTTGGTGTTATATATGTAATTATATAAAAATTATGTGATATTCATGTAAACACCCTTAATAAAAAATAAAAAAAATAAAGAGTAGCCCTAAACAAGTCCTTAACTTTAATCATAATATCGAGAAAAAGGTCTTTCTTTATTAACTTAAAAATGACATATATTTAAATGCATAGATTTTTGATGCTCCAATACGATTAAAATAATTATATAAATTTAGATATTAGACATTAAATACATGAATAATTGTGTCATGTTTATTTAAATCTACATTTACAGCGAAATGCTCGCCGCGTTTGCATCGCCGTGTTGCTGCAGTAAAAAGTAGACTATCACTGGCCGTTGAAATCCGCCCAATAAACAGATATAAGAAGAAAATACTTCACTGCCAGCTAGCTTCCTCAATTATTAAGGGTAAACAAAATAAAAATAAAAAAAAACTTAGGAGTGAAGTAGGAAGGTGCTCCGGAAGTTCTTTGGTGCCGGAGAGAGGGGGAGAGAGGGCGAGATGCTGCGTGTCTTGGCGATCTTAGCATGCATTTGGGCTTCGGAACCTGGTTCTGTCAATGGAGACACAGATGCGGATGACGGTGAGCTTTTTAGGTTCTCAGCAGCTTTTTATGTCTGATTTCGAGTTCTTTGATGGATTTGGTGGCAGCGGTTCGCTTTTCATACTCTGTCCTGCATGTTTGGTTATTGCGAGTCGTAAGACAGTGTTCTTTTGTGTGCTTGAAGATTATATTGGATTCTTCACTTTTAACATTAGGCGCCGCTTTTGTTTTTGTTAGTTCTGGGTATTGTAAAGTAGACAATGACAGCATGGAGTAGGCTTCTTGATGGTTTTCCAAGGGAATGGATGATCCGTAGCAGAAGTTTTATATTTTCTAACTTGGCCACGACTAGATCTTCCTGATCCTAAGCTAGTTATTGGCTACTGTTCGGATTCTTGTCATTGTTAACTCCAGCAGAAATTTCGTTAGTTGTGAATCTTGTTTATCCATGGATATTGTTAACTGTTTAAACAAGATTTAAGACATGAAACGGTGTGGACAATTGCATCTGTTAAAACGCTGGGCAAACCGGCAACTGCTTAACATATCTATTGATTTCTTATGTTATTGTCTGTTTCATGTGCAGTATCTGCTCTCAATGTGCTCTACAGCAGCATGAACTCACCGGGTCAGCTAACGGGATGGAATGCAAGCGGGGGTGATCCCTGTGGGCAATCATGGAGGGGCGTCAAATGCTCTGGTTCAGCTGTTACAGAAGTGTGGGTTTGAGTTTTTTTTTTAAATTTTTTTAATCGAGTAAATTCTCTTTAGAGAATTTTTTTGCTTTACTTGATACAATTTTTTTTTTGTATTTTTCGTTAGGAAGCTGTCAGGATTAGGATTAAATGGTAATTTGGGGTACCAGTTGGACAAGATGAAATCCCTAATAGAGCTGTGAGTCCTCGGACTGCTTATTTTCATTTAAATTGCGTTGTTCTTACTGCTGTCTTTCTCTGATAGTTAAATGTAATGACTGATGCAGGGATCTCAGCAATAATAATCTTGGAGCTGGAAATACTATCCCTTACAATCTGCCACCGCACCTACAGCAGCTGTATGTGATAATTTAGATGTTCTCAGTAATTGTTGAGTTATTTTCCAATGACGTATGCAATCCACAGAAATCTTGCTCAGAACCAATTTAACGGAGGCATCCCATATTCCATATCGCAGATGGCTGCTCTTCAGAAACTGTGAGGGTGTTCGTGGTTTTCATACATTCTCTCTCTCTATCTGTCCAAGAAAAAATGGTTAAAAATCCATTTACTAACAAAAAGTTTTCTGTTCAACTTAGGAATCTTGCACATAATCAACTGCGGGACTCTTTGTCTGATATGTTTGTAAACCTAGTAAGCCTTGGGACCATGTGAGTATATTAGAATTTCTCTCTTAGTATAAATGGCTGTTTAAGTTTTCTTAATATACGGGACATGAAAATTTTGGACAGTTAACTTAAAATTATGTGCTTTCTCATCATGATGCAGTGACGTAGCTACTTTCACTCTAACTTTTATTATGTTTAAATACAATCTAGAAATATACAGACATGTTATGATGTCATCCTGGTTTCTCATGCTATGGCAGGCATGCTGGTATGTCAAATCTCAATGACAAGCAAAAATTTTTTTTTTTGCAAATTTATCCCATTTGTTTCCTATGTTTGTTACCCATTAAAAAGCTACTTTTCGGCAGTTTCAATATTTTGGTTGATAAAAATGTCACCTTTATCCTTCAACAAGCGAAACATTTTGAACAAGCAAAATTTATTCCATATTAACATTCGATGTTAATATGGCTTCTATTAATTAACTTTTCATTTGGAGAATTCATCTATTACAGGGCATCATCTATTTGGTTTTTTAGGTTTTTTGTTTAGCCATTGTTGCTTTTTTTTCATTGTGTATGTCTTATATTGTGCAGGGACCTCTCTTTTAATTTCATTACAGGTGATCTTCCTGAAAGTTTCAGTTCCTTATCAAGTCTCACAATTCTGTAAGATGCTGCTTAACAATTATAATGCGTGTGATTATGTTTACCTTAAAAGTTTCAGATTGTTCATTGAGTTTAATTTCTGACAGATATTTGCAAAACAACCAGTTTACGGGCCCTATTGATGTACTTGCTATTCTCCCCCTTAATGAACTGTAAGTTCTCTCAGTTTTTATTATAATGCTAGATTTAAGGAAAATTTCCATGTAGTATCATGAATAATATGCATATTGATGTTCCTCAGTAATGTGGCAAATAATCGTTTCACCGGATGGATTCCTAACCAATTGAAGGGAATTGATAATCTTAAGTAAGTTTATCTCTTATGTTGTTCTGCCAGATAACCAATTAGCTGTTCGAATGTCTGAGATTGGATATAATTGACTATTTTTAGGACTGATGGTAACTCCTGGAATTCTGGACCTGCCCCACCGCCACCTCCATATACCTCACCACCAGGAATACCTTCTAACCCTGTTCAGGCTCAGGGATCAGGTGGCAGCAATAATCCATCTGATGGTGGTGGTAAAAGTTCTGGTATAGGTGGGGGAGGGATAGCTGGTATCATCATATCTATTCTTGTTGTCGGTGCTGTAATTGCTTTCTTCTTATTGAAGAGGAAAACAAGGAAATTTTCCAGGGAAGATCATCTTGAACAAGATCAACCTTTTGCATCTCTAGCTTCCAATGGTATTAATGTTAACCCATTTGTCAACATTGATATGCTTATGCATTTAGCTAATCAGGTGGTTTAGTTTTAAGAGATTTAAAATATTTCTAAACCCAATCGCTTTTTGGTCATTTATGTTTTTTTTTTGGTTTTGTATATGTGAAGCACTAAAGTGTTATTGTTTGAATCTACCATTCATTATTGGTTATAAAACAATTGATGTTGAATGAAAGAAGATAAATATAGGATCATTTATAAATTTGGGATAAGCATAATTTATTAGTTCATATGACTTCATTAGGAAGTTTGATGTGCCAAATTGGCCTCCAATTGGTCCTCTTGTTTGCAAGCCTGTAAAATTAATTTGTATATATAATTTATATGTCAAGTTACAGATTACACATTGGTATTTCTTGCATAATTGTGTGCGTGTCTATTGTGCTTATGGTGGTAAATGAATGAATATTACAATGCTCAACCTTCCATGAAAATGGATTTGTTTTTACATGTGATATTTGCAATAACATGTTTAGCTTTTCAAATTTTATGCAAGTTAATTCTTTGGAAGTGCTTTCTTCTTATCATTCTGTGATTCTATAGTACTCTTTTTCATAAATTATTGCTGTATGAATTGTGCATGTGGTGATAAATGAATGAATATAACATTGCTCAAACCTTCCATGAAAAGGATTTGTTTTTACATGTCATATTTGCAATAAAATGTTTAGCTTTGTAAATTCTAGATTAGTTCATTATTTGGAAGTCCTTTTCTTATAATCATTCTGCAATTCTATAACTCTTTTTTCATGAATTATTGTTTGGATAATGTTTATAAAACTATCCCAAAGAGGTAATTGGGCTACATTATTGTATCTATATTGGGTTACTATAAGCTCAATTTAGTGCCATGAGCAATAGTAATTACTTGAAGTCACGAATTATTCAACAACATCGTGCTATTTTTTGTCACTTATTCTAGAAAGTATTGGCTCCAAAAATTTGACGCCCACAAATTGCTTTTGGTTTAGTTGAGAGAGCTTTAAGGGTCAAATTTTCAGAAGACAGATGTAATAGTAGATAAAACACTGCCCAGAGATTTCACCCTCATTTTGTGAGGACTTTTTGAATTTAGGCTTAAGGTTTTTCATAGACGCAAGCCCCTATTTTTAATTACTCATCCTGATTACAGGAGAGTACTTTCAATTAAGATTAGTCATTAAATTTTAAATATATAACATATAATAGCAACAAACATTGTTTTAAGTTATAAAATTTATCACCTAAAAACTTAAAGCGGATGGCGGAGGAAATGAGAACGAATTTGATCAAGATCCCATTGTTCTGTCATCCCATGTCTTTGGGGTCCTTGATCTACTTATTTAGAGGAGTCATTCGCCCAACTTGACTAAAATATTCTTGTCTGCAATTTGTCTAAGGAGATATATTTAAGTCGATCTTAGCTAACATAAAGCTTTATGCCAGTTAGTTGTACTCTTATGTTTCACAACTCAAAGGGTAGAAAGTCATTAAGGAACATATGAGCTGCCACCAAAACCATAATATAATAGCAACATTTGGCGGCAACCATTTGGTCAAATGGTTTTAGTTGTAGCTGCTACTTTATCGTGGCATTTGACTGCAAAACATCCGGATAGAAGATTTGAGCCACCTCCTTACTGGCATGAGGTTGTTTTGATTGTTGATATAATGATTCATTCAATGTGACATTCACTCTTTGTAGAGTCAATCAGAAAAATTGTTGCGGATGATGGATGTAGTTTATGTCCCAATCAGAAAATTTTCTCCCTTGAAAAATTGTTGCGGATGATGGATGTAGTTTATGTCTTAAATGATTTAATTTTAAATCTATTTTTTTGTTTATTGCTTTGAAAATTTGATTTAAAAACCTTAATTTAAAAAGTGATCAATTTGGTTGAGATTTTCAGTCAAAATGGCGATCATCGAGAAGATGACATCTAAAATTTTTTGCTTAAGATTCATTTGAAATTTGTCAACATTTGATTTCTTTAGAATGATAGCCATGTCAACTTCAAGTCTTAATAATGAGGATCGGACTTGGTTATTAAAACATGCAAATTATCATATTTTTGATTTGGACATAGTTGAAACTTAATAGACTCGTCAACTCCAGCTCTTAAAAGGTGAAAGATTGAACTAGTTGAGTGAGACTTACAACTTTACCTTATAGATAAGGTAGCCCGATTGATTGATTTTAGAATGTGAAATATTTGACTGTAAGTTTGGCCTTAACCCACACAACATTCCTAAGTTATTCATAAAATATTTAGAATTTTAGCTGGAGCTCATGTGGGTTTGTTTTTGCTAATACACATGCATCTTAATACATTATACTCATACATTTGAAATAATATATTGCAGCTATGAATTATTTTGAAATGTAAGTGCAAGATTTGAAATTATCCAAACTTAGCTAATATAAATCAATACTTCATTGTTTAGGTGGATATTCATAGCTTGAAAGCATTTGAACCATTGAATTTGAGGCTTGTTATCTGAATTAAAATAGCCCTGAATTTTATGAAAGTTTGAAATCATTTTGAAACAATGAAAGTTCACTTGGATATTATATTATTGGATCACATGCACAAATTTTGGGCTTCAAAAGGTACGCATTTTGTTTGCTTACAAATTGGAATTGCAAATTCGGTGGCGAGGTTTTCCAAATTTAAAAGGTTCATGTTTGAATTATGTTTTAACCCCTTAAGAGCCTAGGTTTGGAAAACTCAATTTTGAATCAATTTTCAAACCCTATGAGCCTAAATTTAAAATGCTCAATTTTGAGCTGATTTTAAAACCCTAGGAGCTTAAGTTTGAAAAACCATAATATTTAAATATTTTCAAGTCCAAAGGAGCCTAAATTTAAAAACCCAACTTCAAATACTTTCAAGCCGTAAGAGCCTAAGATTTTTTTTCTAAAGCTCATATTCAAATTATGTTTAGAAATCAAACGCTTCATCTTTTAAATTATTTTATATTCAAATAGTCCAAAACTTTAAGTTTTTTACAAGTTCAAATCACCCAAAATTTTGGCAGCCTCCAGACATCAATCCATGTTACGAGGCATTGGGAGAATGTCAATCTTCCCAACTGTCTTAAAAGACTCGCTGGTCAGTATGGTGAGACATTGTTGTCGGTGAGCAAAAATATGTATTTTAATCCACAATCTTAAAAAACATTATAAGCGTTCAATGGTCCTGCAGAAGAATTAAATCATACGAAAACATTTCCCCAAATAGTTATTTTTTTTTTTTCTGAACGATATTTAATTCCTAACTGCAGATACTCATGTTGCCAACGATGGGTATTTTAAATCTCTTAAATTTATAAATAAAGTTCAAACAAGTCACAATTACCCCTCCCACGCCCATTTTATACCTTTTGCAAGTGAGATTGGCACAACTGCGATAATCGGCGATGAAAAAACAAAAGGCAAACACAAAATATTTTTTCTGATTTTATATATATATATTGTATTCAAATGGAACAAGGGGCTGTTTGACGGCTTGGATGGGAAGTAAAAAAAGGTTAGGTTCTGTTCCACTTATTTTAATTGATTCTTCTTCTTTTTCACAAACACTAACCTCAATATCTTTTTTTCTTTAACTCAACCGCTTATGTGAATCTAATAACTGATATTAGTACATAACGTTTAGCATAATTTAATATAATTTAATTATGAAACAAAATAAGTTGTATGATTGAAACACCGAAGCTTTACTATTGCGAACTTTCCTCGATTCAATCCAAAATTTTCTTTTTTCTATACTTTCAAATTTTGATTTTAAATTCATAAATAATAATTAATACTATTCAATTAAATATGCAATATAAAAATAATGTAATAAAGCCCTAACCTTCCTAAAAGCATTCGATTTTGGCACTTGCATGATGACTTCTTCTCTCATTGTAAAACTCATATCTCTTCTGCTTGAAACCACACACAATGGCTCTTTCTTCTTCCCTTGCATGGTTCTCTTATTTCTTCATGCAAAACTGCACAGTGCTACTCCTACGCAAGGCAGTCCGCCTCTTTTTCCTTCAATTGAGACTTCTCCTTCCTAACCCTAAGCATACACAGAGAACTTTTCCGTCTCCACCTTTGCACATTATGAATGCACAGCTCACCTCTCATCTTCCTCTTCATTTGAAACATTTTCCCCGCACACGGCACCGCTTGCACAGCAGTAATGCACGCAAGTTTCGGCTAGGTTGCACATGCAAGGAACGAAATTGCGCTCTTGCTCACTTTTATTCCTTTTGCTCGCTCGTTCTCTGTTTCTCGCTAGGTTCGTTCTTTGTGTTTGAACGAAATGAGGGGATAAATATTTCGTTTTGATTTCCCAAGTGCGTTCATTTGTTTTTAATGACACATATAATTTATTTTTTATTATTACAATTTTTTTTTTAGTTCACTGAAATTTAAAACTGGTTATCACAACTTTGTTGGGGCGTGCACCATGTATAACTCTAATTTTGGAATAACACATACCAATATTATTTTCATTACGTTAGTTAAGTGTTGGGCATGTAGCATTTGAAATGGAGATTGAGAGTTTTTTGAAATGTTCGTGCTAATAGTTACCTGTACGATTCATAATCAATTCATCTAAGATGTGCATTTGATTTTTTTGCAATTGAAATTTATTCAATCATATACTTGAAAATTTCATAGTTTTCATTGTCCGCGTGTATATCATGCAAATTGTTGTATTCAGACGGCCACATGTATAACACACAAATTACGTCATGGTTATGTTAAACCAAGTCAGTTTTGTAAAATGCTGTAAGGGGGTGACAAACAGGTTTCGGTTCAATTCTGGGTATTCTGAGAACTATTGAATACTCTTACAAAGTTACTTCTAAGATTTTGTGAAATGTTAGAGAAGCTTTTCTAAGTTTGTTTCAACTTAATTGTATGAACACTTCTTACTAGCTTTTGAAAGTTTTTTTAACTCAAATGTGTTCTTTCAATGTGCTATGTCAGAGCTGAAGTCCATTAATTTAGCATCTTTTGTTGACACAGCAATGTTTAAATCCGCAACTGATGCAACGACATTTCAGCCAACTTCTGCCAGTCTTAAATCCCCTCCTACGAGTAGGCAAAATAAGTCATATGAAGAAGATGAGCTGTCGAAAAGGATGCCAGTGATGAAAGAAAAAGCGGTTCCTATTCGTAAAACCATGTATTCAGTAGCAGACCTGCAGCTGGCTACAAATAGCTTTAGTTTGGATAATCTTATTGGTGAAGGTTCTCTTGGACGTGTATACAGAGCTCAATTTGCTGATGGCAAGGTATTGTTTCCACCTAAAACTGCAGTTTCTCTCATTTCCCACTTTTTGAAGTTCTGGAAGTATTTACCTATTAACACACACACACAACTACGCACACGCACACGCATACAGGACATACATGTATGTGTGTGTGTATATATATAAATAGATTAGTAGGTAGAAATTTCTCTATAAAAAAAGTCGATTTCCCTGACTCTCGTTTGTTGTTGAGCGCTTTGTATTTGTTATTCAGGGTTAAAATTTTAGAAGACAGATTTGATTGTAGATAGAAAACTACCCAGAGATTTAGCGCTCATTTTTTGAGGACTTTTTGATATGGGGTTCAAGATTTCCCATATACCCAAGCTCCTAAGTTTAATTATTCCTCCCTATAACGAGAGATCACTTTTGATTAAAGCTTGTCATTTAGCATTAAATATCCAACATATAGTAGCAACAGATTTGGAGTTTTAGATTTATCAATTTTATCACCTTGAGCTTAAAACGAATGGTGATGAAATGATGACAAATTTGATCTAGATTCTATGGTTTCATCGTTCTGGGTTGTTTTAGTCTCTAATCTACTTAGTCAGAGGAGATAGTCGACCCAACTCAAGTGAAAGATTTTTATAAGCAATCATGAGTTTCATCATCTAAGGGAACCTTATAGATCTTGGGTGTATGGTCTAAGGGAACAAATTTAAGTCGATTTTAGCTAAAAAAATGTTTTGTGTCAATTTAATGTATCATATGGTTCATAACTTAGGGCTCGTTTGGGGCAGCTTATTTGGGTGTGGCGGCGTTTTGAAAACGTAGTCGCGCTGGTTGGAAAACACGTTCGTCGGGCGTTTTCAAATCGCTGTGACGTGCGGTATTTTATTTGTGCTACGGAGTCACACGCGGGGCAGGGTATGTGTTTGACGTTCGCGACTGGCGTTTAGCGCTCGAATTCCTCCCGTGCCCTTGGGTGATCTCTCTCGCGCTCTCCCTCGCCCTCTCCCTCCACGATCTTCTCCCTCACAAACATCGATTCGATCGTTCCTCTGGTGAGATTTATGTGTTGCTATGCTTTCTGGTTGGTTTTATGGCTCGATCTTCTCCTTGCAATCTTCTCCCTCTCCCTCCCTCTCCCTGATCTTCTCCTTTGCCCCAAACAGTTTTACCAGACGGGCAGGAATGTCATTTATACAGCTATAACTGCCAATAAACTATTCTGAATAAACCGCCACAAATAGTAAGCCAACTTATTCTGATAATCTGCATATCATCAGATTATCAGAATAATCTGCTTATCAGCAGATTATAAATAATCAACCGCTTCCCCAAACAAATCCTTAAAGGGTAAAATTTAGGAAACATATGGGTTGCGATTATAATCGTAATATAATGACTTCATTTGACAACAACCACCCGATTAGAGTGCTTTGGTCACAACTGCTATTTTTTTGGAGTTGTTGGGTCAAACAACGCGGACAGAAGATTTAAGTCACGTCCTTACTGGCGTGAGATTGCTTTGGCTGTGAATATTGTGATATATTCAATCAGAAGTCAATCAAAAGTTTGTCACCCTCAATAAATTGTTACAGATTGCGAATGAATATTGATTTTAGCTTTAAGTTATTGATTTTAACTTGAATATTTTAATTGTTTACTTAAAGTCTTTAGCTAGTTGATTTTAATTTAAGTGTTAGTTTGATATTTTAAGAACTTGTTTTGAATATTGATTTAAAATTTGACATCTCTGGTTGATGTTTTTGGTCAACACGGTCATCATCGAAGATTTGATTGCTTGAATTAAACCTTGTTGACTTTGTATCTTGCTAGTAAAGAATTGGGCTTAAGATTAATATATGACTGAATTAAAACCTTATAAGCTCTATCCTGCTTACATAAGATCAAGCTCATACATGTATTATTTAATTTATTAAAATTGTTTTAAAACTTAACTTTGAAAATATAGTTTTCTGGTTGACATCTTTATCAATGATGGACAGTGTGGATGTGCCACTAATTTAATTATTTACGCAAGCGTACTCTTTCGAATCTGAGTTGTCGATCCCACAAGGAACAATGTGAATCCAAAATAGGACAATGTTCTAGTCCGTTATATTCGTTCTTAGTTTAAAATTTTCAAATATTCAAGTTATGCTATCAATCATATTGCAATAATCTAAAATTACTCCTACAGAAAAATTCTAACTACGCTATGTGAATTAGTTGTACCAAGTGCTTAAGTCATTTTTCCTTGCAGTGATAAAGTGGAGTGTAGATGTGTAAGAAATGTGAAATAAGATAAAGTTAGTGACAAATAAAAGTATAAATTTTCTTTACCCTCTTTCGATTGTATAAATAATCTTGGTTAAAGAGGCCTTATTTCCTTAAGTCCCACTTTGAACCAAATGAAGTCTATCTCCTTATTTACTTGCATCTCTCTATAGTGTACTTTTGTTTCATACCCTATAGTTCAACATGATTTCCTAGTCGTCCATGCCATAGCTCTTCTGAGTCCTTATGAGTTCACAATGCATTTTAACAAATCAATTGGCTAGATAGAAAAAATTAAACTAAGCGCAAAAGGAAAATCATCACAATTTGGATTAAGGGGAATTTCAACATTCAAACTCACATTCTTACACATCTAATACATCACCACAAGGAAAATCAAGAAAGTTTACTCAGATAACCTGGATAAAACACAACAAGAATGCATTGATACAAAGAGATTCAACATGCAAAAGTGTTTCAGAAAATTACAAACCCAAAAAATAAATATACTTCTCTCTTCCTAAATTTCTTTTAAGAATGCTCCACCAAAGTTTTTACTTTTCTCTTGCAAACTCTTTAGTCAAGCACTCACAAACAAAGCAATTCACTCCCCTTAGACTTGCTTTCACAAGCCTAGAACAAGCCTATGAACTCTCACAATAATAGAGGAAAATCTCTCGCAAGACTCCCTCTCTAACCCCTAATGATACTCTTGAATATTTTCTTCAACCCCCATTCTTCTCTAAGTCCTCTTAATAACTCCCTGAAAACTGCCTTGGTTCGCCCAAGAGATGCCACGAACTGGTAGCTCGAACATCCCAAAATGGTGTAGAATTCGGTACTGGCGCCTTCGCGCCATGACCTTGGCCTTAAGCGTTGGGGCCTTGGCGCTAGTGGTTGGCAGCTAAGTGCCAACCTCTTGGGTTACCTTTGTTTGTGTGGCGCCATGGCCTTGGCCTTCAGGGCTAGGGTCTTGGCGCCTAGTGGTTTGTGCCTAAGCGCCAACCTCACTGGTGGTCATAGCTTGGCTGGCGCCTAGGCGCCCAATATTTGGCGACATGGCCTCAGCCTTCACAAATGTCTCCAAATTTTCTTCTTTTCACCCCATGCTTCTTCCACTTCGTTCCACTTCTAATACCTGTTATACCTGCATGAAAAACATAAAAATATTTTTCTTTAAAGTGCGATTTTATTCAAAAATGTGTAAAACGTAGACAAATTTATGCAATTTTTTCACACATCAAAATCTCTCAAACTTAAATGTTAGTTGTCCTCAAGTAACACTGAAATATTAATATGAAAATAATAATTTGAGGAAATGAGTTTTTCATTAAAATTTACATTTTTGCTGTAGGAAATTCATAACATTTTTTTAGATTAATTCTAACAAACAAGCATAATCCGAGGGTTTAAAAAACCTTTCATTTAACAAAGAAAATATGAATGCTCATTTACTTTTAAAAAGCTACTGAAACTTGTTGGTCAAGTCATCTTAGATGATAGAAAAATAGAATTAAGAATCTCTACTTGAACAGAATTACTAGTGCATCAAAAATCAAGCGAGTTTAAGAATGCAATAAAGTGTTATTTCCAAAAAAAAGTTTAGTGAAACCAAATTTTGATAAGATATTTCCTCAAGCTTCACCCCCTTTAATATTTTTCATCCTTCTTTCTTTTTCTTTCTTTTTTTTCTTTTTCTTATCCCCCTTTAATATTTTTCATCCTTCTTCTTTCTTTTTCTTTCTTTTTTTTCTTTTTCTTAAGGATGTTTGTTTTTATAATTTTTTGAGGATTACTATATCTAGATACCTTTTTAATAATTTTGAATTTCACTATTACCTCCTTGAAATATAACCTATCACACCTTTTTACTTTTTAAGCTTGTGAAAAATTAATAATCATTAGTTTAAAATAAAATTTAGAGTTTAATTCTTAATAAGTATATATCTAAGAATACCTCATTTCACAAATTCAACTCTCTTTAAAAATAAAGAAACTATTTAACATTTTCTACGTATTGAATTACAAGGTATTTTAACTCTAGTTTAGTTTTATTTACATAGAATTTAAAATAAAGAAATAATATTTAAAAAAATTGTACTTATTTCAAATTAACTCTACTTTCCACAAATTTAAAAATATAACCATTCAAATGTGTTCTTGAGGACTATTAACTTCGAGTTTTTTTGAAAGTGATATTCTCCTCCCCCAATCTTAATCTCTAGCATACCTCAACACATGAATCATGAATATAAGTAGGGAAAAATCCACAATCATACTACCTACAGCATGTGTGTATCGCAAAAGTAATAGTTTAAGAATAATATACATGTATATATTAACAAGTATGAAAAAATAATGGGGGTGGATAAAAACTACAACAAAGAAAGTCAAAATAGCCAAGCAGGTAAACGAAAATTAAGCTCAAAACAACAGAATGTTAACTGAATAAAGAGTTCCTAAAAAAGTAGCAAATAACCACAAATAAGTCCAATACATCCACAATACAACAAATAAATAAAATCACTCCCCATTCTCTTCATCATCATTTTCTTTTTTCTCTTATTCCTCCTCATCTTCCCCTTCTTCTGCATCCTCCTCCATCGGTCGGCTCTGCTCATACAGTTGGTACGGAGGATAGGCTGGGAATTCCACCGAGCTATCCCCACCAATCCACTGATTCTTTAGATGCATCTCCAACTGAGCAGCATAGACACTGAAATCAAAATCATATTTGCATTTGTTCAACCAATCAA